GTAAATCATCATGGGGAAAAGATGTATCAAAATAAATGGAAGTTACTTCAGAAACAAACTTAAGTCCATTTCAGTTAAATAAATTGTTTAAAGAAAAAAAAAAAAAAAAAAAAAGAATTCCCATGCTTCTCAGTTGGGTTCCTCCCACTCTTTTACTGCAGCCTATGGGCCAGCAGGCTATACGTCACTATAAGAAGCTATACACCAACAAACTGTTCATGAAGTACTTCCAGATGGTCTCAGATACAGATTTAACTCTTAAGGATTCTGGAAGGAACATTATAACATCTTTTCCTGTGTGGGGTTAACTGAGAAATCCTGGGCCAATGTATCTCTAAGGACACTAAGATCTGCCTGGATGAAAATGTGGGCTCAAGTTATACAGGATGGTTGATGACAGTCACTATAGCAGAGTCCACAGGCTTGTAGGTAGACTGTGGTGATATTGAGGAATTGGTGGAGGAGCACTCAGAGGAACTGTCTGCAGAGGAACTTCAATAACTCCTGGCAGAGCAACAGAGAATGATAGCTGAGGAGCTTTCTGAAGAGGATGGGGAGTGTCAACAATCAGTGCAGCAAAACATTCTTTTGAAATAAAGGAAATCCTGAAAAATGGACAGAGCTACAAACATTTGTAGAGAAGACCCACCCAGAGAAAAAAGCCAATCATTGCATTCACTTGCTTAATGACAGTGTCATGGCATACTACAGAATACAGTTAAAAGACAAAAATTAGACAACCTTAGAGCACTTTTTAGTTCTAAAAAGGTTGAGACCTAGTGAGCCAGAAGCAGGTCCTACTGGGCTAGAATCTCCCAACAAGTGAAAGGACACCAGAGACCAGATTCCTGACGTTCTGATGGGAGAAAACTCTCCTTATAAACAATAACCACCTTCCATTTCATTCTCCCTTCCTGTAAGTAGAAGACGTTAACTTAAATGGTGAGTATGAAATTGTTTCTGGTAAGGTAGGTACATTTTATCTTTTTGGTGACTACACTAGGAAAATATGTGTTTCTTGTAAATTATGCACATTATACAACCCTTTATTATGAAAATGTTAGTCAAGGGGTGTTTGGGGAGATTCGGAATGCATTATGGGTATTTCCATTATGTCTTATGGGAAAAAGTCTTGACTTACAACTAACTTGACAACAAACTGAATTCACTAAGTCCACGGTCCAATGTATTATTGTTCAAGGTCATCCAGATAATGCCTCAAAAATAATATCTAAAGTGGGCCAGTGCTTCAAACTAGCAACAATCCTCAGTCGTTCATTAAAGCTTTCCGGTACCTGTCCTGCGTAGGGCTATCAGCCCCTGCAGTTCAGATCTTTCCTAAGGTTCTAGACTCCCTGGGGTTCTCAGTCCACTCAGGAGAGCTGCACGCATGCCTGGCAGTGTTTGCTGCTGTTATCACCGGGCGTAAATTATAAAAAAAAAAAAAAAAGGCAGGCTCTGAGCTGCGAAGTCCCAGTATCGAGTGTCTGAAATGGGCGCGGGGTAACGCGGAGGGCAAGGAACCCACTTCCAAACCCTACAAAGCCTCCATCCTGGCGCGCGCTGCACGAAGCAGCCCCACACCGGGCTCCAGAGCGGTTAGGGCTCCACCACGGCTGACTGCTCCAGCCACCTCACCCCCATCCCGCCCTGTTCACCCATCCTGGGAACCCCAAGCCTCTCGCGGCTCCCTAGGTGTAGGAGGGCGGAAGAGCTAGGCACTTTACCACGGAAGAAGCCGAGAGCATGGGAGGAACGCTATCAGAGTCCGTGGGATTCCAACCCCGCCCAAACTCGAAGTATGGACTCAGGGGGGGATGCGGACACCAGGTCCTAGGTTCCCGCGCCCACAACCAGATCCGCACTTCATTCCTCCTTCCCGTGGAATCCTCAGAACCCACCACCACCAACGCTCACCAGCTACAGTCCCTGGGAGCGTGTCGGCCGCGCCTGGCCAGTGCGCCTGCGCCAGCTCCCGTAAGCCCCGCCTCCCACTCAACCAGCCAATCCCAAGCTGCGTTTACGAAAACGGGGTGGGACACTCTGGCCCCACCTCTCTCAAAGAAGCCTGGGTTAGGTTTTCCGGAAGTTCAGAGAGGAAACCAACTCTTTTCTAGTTCATACATTGGACTGGGTAGCAGTAAGTAGATCGTTGTTCCGGAAGTCCTCTCTAGGACTTATGGAGGCTTGGCTTTATGGTCAAAGTGGACCGCCAAAGATTGAGTCGTGTGCTGCGTGTCAGGCCCCGCCTCCATTCTCCAAGTGGAAGGCTAGTGACAGCGTAACTATGACAACCCCTGCAGTATCTTTTCTAGTTCACCCTATGATTTACCAGGCTTTCTATTTATTTATTTATTTATTTATTTTTATTTTTTTATTTTTTTGCGGAACCGGGGATTGAACTGAGGTCTTTGCGCTTGCCAGGAAAGCTCTTATTCCACTGAGCCATCTCCACAGCTCCTCAATTTAAATAACTTTATGGCACCTTTATTACAGTGTCCAAGATGGTCTTTAAAAAACAAGAATGCAAACTTTCGCAAAATATTTTTTTAGCTGCCACTTTGTACCAGTCTCTTTGCAGACGCTGAGCATAGTGAAGCGAATGAAACAGACAAAATTTCTTGTATTCAGTGCAGTTTACGTTCCTTGAGACAGGAAAAAGTTCATAACCTGGTGTGATGAAATTTAAGTGGGCCAGGGAAGAGGGCAGAAAAGAACTCAGCGATCAAGACAAACAACTTGCTGCTGTTATTACGGGGCGCAAATTATCAAAAGGGAGGCTCTGAGATGTGAAGTCCCTGTATCAGATGTCTGAAATACAATTAATTTTTTGGATACAATTAATTTTTTAAAAAATCAAAATTAAAGTACAAAATTTATAATGAAAAATTAAATTTTTAAAGATCTGATCTTTAAAAGTTATAGGGAAGGAAAGAAAATGGAGTGAGGGCAAGTGATGTGGTTGTATTCTAAACTAGAATAATTATGGAGTCTAACTTACTTTTTTAAATTTTGGGGGGTCGGGGAGATAGCTCAGCAGAATAAGTGCTTGCCTGACAAGCGCAAGGGCCTGAGTTCAATCCCCAGTTCCACAAAACAAAATTTTAAATTTCTTTTCTGACCAGCTCAGCCCACTCTGGGGGCAGGGCTGGCCCAGCATGTGGTACCAGGGATCGAACAATGGTCCCTGCATACTTGCCTAAGTAGGCACTTTAGATCGCTGAGCTATCTCCCCGGCCCTCACCTACTTTTTATTTTGTTTTCATTTTTCACCACTTGATATTGAAATCAAGGTTACTTTCCTGCAGAGCTAGATCTCCAGGCCACTGATTTATGAATTTCTCTCTCTCTCTCCCTCCTGTGTCTGTCTGTCTGTCTGTCTGTCTGTCTGTCTGTCTGTCTATCTTTCTCTCTCTCCTCTCTCTCTCTCTCTGTCTCTCTGTCTCTGTCTCTTTCTTATGAGACAGCGCCTCCCTAAATAGCTCTAAGTGGCTTCAAATTTTTGATCATCTGGCCTCAGCCCTCTAGAGTAACTGGGGTTAAGGACTTCATCTTGGCAGCTGAGAAGGTGACAGGTCCACAAAGACCTGAAGAAGGGCAAGCAGCACTGGCTGTGCTGGAATCCCCAGGTGCACAGCCCTGGCCCCACCCAGGGACGACTGTCAGGGGTGAGCCTGGGCATCCATATTTCAGGGTCTCCCACAGAGTGAGTCTACTGTGCGGACTGGGTTGAGTTGGCCCACCCACAGGAAAGACACAAAACAACCTGCTGAGGTGGGCACAAGGGCCACCAGATGCGCGTTAGCCTCATAATCTTAAGGCAGTGTGGTTCAGTCAGAGCCAGGACCAATGCCTGTCCACGCCCAGGAGGCTGTGCAGAGCTGGCTGGATCTGAGTTCCCGCCCAGAGCCCTGCTCGGCTTCCATGGCCTCATACTGTGGGAGGGGCTTTCCCCACAACACTGCCCCAGCCGTTATTCCCTCCTCTTTGGGGCCAGGGCCAAACCATCTTCAGACTGTTTTGGAATCCGCAAATCCAAAGCAGCTTTTTATTTCTCCTTTCTCCCATGCACATGGTTACATCCCTTCCAATCCTGGAACAGCCAGGCAGCCGTCCTGTGCATCCTGAGGGGTTAATTATTTCTCAATTAGCCGTTCCCAGGCTGTAGAGCATAGTGCTGTGCAGGGGCCTAATGACTTGCTGTGTACCGTGCCCCCACATCTTCAGAGCACTTACCAGTGGTAACTAATTAATGCTCACGACACCCATGGGAGACGAGCCAAAAATGCTGCATTTTACCCGAGTGTGTAGTGGCTGGAAGCCTGGAGCTGCAGGTCCGGACAGCCATTGTCAGATTTGCGCCCCACCGAGAAAGTCCAGGTGGTGGAGGTCTCCAGGCGGGGAAGACCTAGCACCTGGCCCTGTCACTGCTAGCAACTTCCCATGTGACATTTCAGTCAATCAATTGATTAATAATTTATTGGAAGCCTTGAGTCACAGAGCTAATTCCCTGAGTCAGGGGTTAGCTCAGTGACAGAGTGCTTGCCTAGCATACAGGAGATCCTAAGATCAGTGGCCACTAAAAAAATAAAAATAAAGCCAGGTAGGTGTGGTGCCACACACCTGTGATCCCAGCAGCTGGTAGGCTGAAGCAGGATTGCTGTGAGTTCAGAGTCAGCCTGAACTGCTTGCTGATACTCTCAACAACAACAACAATGAAATACCAAAGAACAAGTAGTTTATAAAGAACAGAAATGTGCATCGTGCAGTTCTGGAGGCTGAGTAGTCCGTAGTCAAGGATTTGGAATGTGATGTCTGCTGAGGCTTTGCTCTCCTTCCAGCATGGTACCTTCTTGCTGCTGCTTCCAGGGCAGAAGGGGCCAAAAAGGGGTGGGTCCTGTGCCCTCACGTGGCAGAAGAAGCAGATGGGCAGGAAAGGCCAGGTAGCTCTCAGAAGCCTTAGCACCTCTAGCTAAGATGTTTCTGAGGGCAGAGCCCTCATACTTAATCATTTCTCAACACCCCTTCATGTGGTCCCCCTTGAGGTGTAAGGTCCAACCTGTGAATCTTGGAGGGACACATTCCTTCAGGCCACAACAGGGTCCTGCCATGTTGACACCTACAGTGAACTATTGCTTGGCGCAAAGTTGCTTCCCTGTGCAGGTCATGCTGAGTCAAGGATTCAAGGATGAGCCATTTGTTGGGCAGTCAATCCCGGGATGCCCTGGTAGGGAGGTGGGCAAGTGACCCTGGAGAGGAGGTGAGCACAAGGTGTGATGGTGTGTAAGTGACTGCTGTGGGCCCCTGGGCCTCACTCTCCCTGGGGACCTCTAGAGATTGTGGACCGTGTCTCAGAATGACCCTACTCCTGGTACCATGGAGGCTGAGGCATTTGTCCTCCCATTTCTATTCAGCGTTGGTTGAAGGTATTGAGTGTGCCATGTATGTAGGCTGAGTGGAGTCCTCCAAGGAGGGGGTTAGGTGTATGAAGGAGAACTCAGGAACATGCCAGGTGGGCGAGGGTAAGGTATGGACAGGGCAGGGAGGTTGATACAGGAAAAATATAACTCCTAGCCTGTTAGATATCAGATCGCTGACTTGGGGTCTCACAACATTGAGGAATGAAGTTGTGAGCCGAAGGAGGAAGTTAGGAGAATTTCACTGGAAATACAAAGACAAATAGATTCTGAATTTCCAGGAGGGGTCCCAAGTAAGAGGCCACTGAGGCCCTTTGTTGTGGGGAATTCATACAGCCAAGTTACAACATGGGTACAACACAGGTCAAACTACAATCAACCTACAGGATCATAAGTAGAGCCATTCAGCTGATATTGATCTGATAGGAAAGAGGCAGGTAGCTAGAGTATATGGTGAGCATCATTGACCTTAGCTTATCTGTGACTTCTAACACTGAAAGAACAAAGGCATTTTGGGGAAACGGGATGGGTCCAGATGCTCTAGTCTCACACCTGGATGTCTGATCTCATCTTTTTTTTTTTTTTTTTTTTTTTTTTTTTTGCGGAACTGGGGATTGAACTCAGGCCCTTGCGCTTGCCAGGGAAACGCTTATTCCACTGAGCCATCTCCCCGCCCCCCCCCTTTTTTTTTTTTTTGAGGGCTGGCCAGATAGCTCAGAGGATTAAAGCATCTGCTTAAGCAGACACAGGGACTGGGTTTGATCCCTGGTATGCCGTGCTGGCCCCACCCGAGGGGGGGCATGAATGAGACTGGGCATGGTGACATGAACCTGTAATCCCAAGTCTTGGGATCCTAATCTACAGGGTCTCACTACAAAGATCAGATTCATAATGAGCCTCCCAAGACCTGGGATTACAGGTGAGCGTCACCACACCCAGTCTCATTTGCCGTCTCAGTGCACTCCGGGGGCAGGGCCAGCATGGCACACCAGGAATTGAACCCTGGTCCCTGTGCTCTGCCCAAACAGGCGCTTTAGCCTGCTGAGCTATCTGACAGGCCCTTCTGATCCTATCTAGACTACTTGGAAGGTGGTACAAATTACAGTGTGATCTCCAGTTGCTAGTTATCCCTTAAGGAGCTTCAAAGGCCTTGCTATTGTGTCTCCATCCTGAGGCCTGGCTCTTCAGATTCACCCCCAGCCACAGTCCTGATGTCTTTATTATTCTGTGCTGATTTTCTCCAGGTCCCAGCCCCTCTATGGCTGTATATGGATTTCTACCTAATTTAGCTGTCTGTCATTAGGTGATTCTTCAGCTGGCCTAGCAGGATAAACTGCCATCTTGCTTAAGGTTTTACTTTTCAGAGTTGTTTTATTTTATATTTTGAGATGAAGTCTTGCTGTGTAGTCTGGGCTGAGCCTTTAACTCACCACATAACCCAGGCTGGTCTTGGACTTTCCCTGGAGACCTCTGGAGACTGGGGACCATGTCTCAGAATGACCCGACTCCTGGGCTGGTGGAGGCTGAGGCATTTGTCCTCCAGTTTCTTCAGGAAAGCTGTGTAACCACCTCAAGCCTCAGCTTCTTCTCTGTGAGAAACAGGAGCAAGGCTAACACGCATGGACTCACGTGTGGGCTGCAGAAGACGTGTGGAACATGAGCATGGCGACCGGCTGTGGCACGTTTTCAGTGAACTGTTTTGATGGTAATGTTGACACAGTGACTTCCTGTGACTTGCCAGGGAGGTCCCTCTGTGCTCAGATAAATTGTCCTCCTGTGGCCACAGGGAGGCCTGTGGGGGCTGTGCTAGCCCCTCACTTGCTGAAAATACCCCTCACCTCTAACACCAGAGAGGCTGTTTTCTAGTCTGGCCCAGGCGAGGCAGATGCTGAGCTAAATAGTACAGCAGGAGTGGAGATCAAGGCCAGCTGTTGCTGAGCTGGGGTGCAGCCTAGGGGAGCAGGGGGAGCTGCTGTGTCCCTCCATTGGCCAGTGTGCTGGTGATTTTGGCCCAAGTGCCGGTGACTTTGGCCTGTGCAGCCAGGGTGGCTGCTCCCTGGAGCTGTGCCTGTGACGCTGGGGACCTGTGCCCATCTGCTCATTTTATTGTTGAGCTTTGAAGTACTAAATGTCATTACCCTCCCATTTCTTAAGCAAGAAAAAAGTTAACAGTCTGGGGAAAGGAGATATTTCACTTCATTTGGCATCCAACCACCATCACCCAGGCAGGGTGCTCACTTGGGGTCTGCTGAGGGCGAGAAGAGGAACTGCTGCCTGTTGCTTTCAGCTGCCAGCTTGGCTCCACGCAGGTCCAGGGCCTGTGAATGACTCCAGCACCTGGACAGGCGCTGTAACAGAAAGAGCTCGGAGGCCAGAGGAAGGCACCGAGTTCAGAATCACTTTGCTTATTAGGATCAGTTTTTTGTGGCCCCAGGAGGTGAACTTAACTTGGGGAGAGAAATGACAGAAATGATTTCAACTCAATGAAAAGACAGATTACAGTGAAAGACTTAGGCCTGTGGGAAAGGAAGTCGATTGTTTTATGAGTCAGTGGGCTCTTCATCTGCCAGAGATCTGAAACTCTTTCAGAATGCTGGGTGGAGAGAGGAATCCTGCTCTGGACTAGAGGCTGAGACAGGTGATGATGAAGGTCCACACTCCCATCTGCGACCTTGTCTGGTGCCCCAGTGGCCTCATCTGTGAAATGAGGATTATGATGCCACCCTTCAGGGCTGTGGAGAGAATTTAGTAGGAGTGCTTGTGTGAAATCCAGGAGATGGCAAGGGTGCTGCTCTGCCACTGTGCTGCGAACAGTGGAGCAAGGTAGGGCATACGACAGCCCTTCAAAGGAAGGCAAAGGTGCCGACCAACCCATAAACCATCACAGGGCCTTGCTGCCACAAGTGTGAACAAGAGGTACTTCTGGAATGTGGCAAGAACTCAAGCTGGTAGTTGTTCTATGGAGGCCACAAGATTGAGCCCAGCCATCGTGTGATTTGTTGGCAGTTAGAGTCCAACTCTTTTACAAATTCACATGTAAGATTTTAGGACTGTGATGCCAGGCATGGTAGCACACCCCCATAATCCCAGCACCCAGGAGGCTGAGGCAGGAGGGTCACTGAGAGTTCCGGGGCCAGCCTGGGTGAGACCCTGTCTCAAATAAATAAATAAATAAATAAATAAATAAATAAATACAGATATTAGGACTGTGTTCCAAGCATAGGAAATTCTAAGAACTCCCTCATTCTCTTGTAGAAGGCTCAGGACTACGGATAGGTGCTGAGACCCCTTAATTCCCTCAAGTACAGAATAGAGAAGTCAAGTAGAGGTTCTGTGGATGAGTTTTATTTCAAGCAGTTTTGAGAGTCTTTTCTGGCCAAGCTGATAGGAATGAGGCCTGCTGGAATATGAGTGGGAGAGGCCTGGGTACCCAGGCCCGAGTAAGGGCCCAGCCCAACGTGCTCCCCAGTGACGCGCCTCTGTCCCAGCCCAGGCTCCACTGAGCTCCATTCCTAAGAATCCAAAGACAGGCCTTTGGGCCCAGGCACTAGAAAACCACAACAGCCGAGGCAGTCTGTTTCTCCCAGGAGACTCGCAGTATCTTAATTCCATCTCTCTGCTGGCTCGGGTCTTTAGCGGCCTCGTGCCAGTTTCCAGAGTCCTTCGCATCGGAAATCAGGTCTTTCTGCCGCAGGGGGCATTTGGAGTGCCAAGCTCTCAACGTCCCCTTTCACAATTCCTAATGGAGCATCTTACTGGCTCCACTTACAACTCAATGGCAGGTTAGGCCCAATCACCTGGGATTGGGGCGGGGCCTCGCTGCTGCCCGCAGGCCTGCTCAACCCCGGGCTCAGACTGAGAAGGTCCGGCGGCCTCGCCTGTCCCCTGCGCAGTCACCCTCCTGCTCCATGGTCTCGAACAGCAGCCGCACCAGCGCCAGCCGCCCCTGGTCCACCAAGGCGCGGGCCAGCCCCAGCACCTCGTCCGTGTGGCCGCGCCACAGGCGCTGCAGCTCCTGGCGCAGGCTGGCCGCGGGGTACTTGCCCTGGGCGCAGCGCAGCCAGGTGTCCACCTCGCGGCCCAGCTCGCCGTCGCTCAGCTGCGCCTGGCTCCACTGCGTCAGCAGCGACTCGAGCAGGCAGCCGAAGCCCTCGGGGCGGCTGGAGCCCGCGTCGTCCAGTTCCACGGCACGCTTGAAGCAGGCCGCTGCGTTGGCGTCCTCGCCTTTGATGCGCAGACACTTGCCGCGCAGCAGCTGCAGCTCGGGCAGCGCGTCACCCAGCTCCGACTCGCCGGCCTTGGCCAGGAAGACCAGCGCCTGATTGAGCGCTGCTTCATCCACGGCCAGCAGCTCCTGCACCGCGTCCACACCCATGTAGTAGTAGACCTGGGGGCGCGGATGGGGCCCAGACTGAAGCCTCCCCCAGTCACTTGTCCCCAAGCCTCCCTCATCTCCACCCCCACCCCACATTAATCGCACATCATGTTTCTGGACTTAGGAAAGAGTTAGTATTGGAATTCCAGGTTTTCCAGGTCCAGCACTTGCACTCCAGCCACAGAACCTCAAGAGGGTACATTGATGTTCCTTGGTGCCCACGCATGTAAATTAGATATTGCCATCTCTTGGTGACCACTGCCTAGCACAGCAGGCGCTTCTGGATGGAATGCAACTCCATACCTACCAAGTGCGTAAGCACTGGCCCCCTTTACCTATTCCACACATCGCTGCATAGCCTTTCCCCTAGAGGCTGGGGATCTGGGAGAGCTGTACCCCTAGTCCTGTCAGGGCCCTCGGTGCCCAGTTCAGCCCCACAGGTTGTCAACAGGTTTTTGGTGAGCCCTCTGCCACCCAGGCCAAGCAGCTGCTTACCTGGCCAATGTCCAGGAAGGTCCTGAGGCCTGGGCACACCCTGACTACTTGCTCGAGGTCGGCCTTGGCGAGGGCCAAGTGGCTCCTGTCTGGCATGCCTCCAAGCCCGGCCTTGGCCCGCTCCAAGTCGTGTAGGTAGGCTGTGGTGTGGATCTACGATAGATGGCCGGCTCAGAGGTGTTCTGGACAAGCCTCCACCTCTGTCCTGCACCAACCCAAGCCAGTCTCCTCCTGACCAGCAAAGAGACATGACAGAAATTCTGGCTCTCATGGGGCTTGTACTTTAGTAGGGAGAAAGACAAAGTGTGACAAGTACATAAACAGTATGTTAGAGACCAATTGGTGGTAAGAGGAGTGAGGAGACCTGGAAAGAACGGAAAGCACTAGCACTGGAAGGGCACTGCTAAAGTTTTCAATAAGATGGTCTATAGAGGATGCCTTTGGGGAGGGAGGGGTGAACCCCGCTTGCGTCAAACTTGTGATCCACCTGCCTCCTGACCAGCTGGGATTATAGGCATATTACAGGTCAGAAACCTGGGCCTGCAGGGGTTGGGCTGGCAGGAAGTTAGGAAGGAGACCTGGAAGAGGGCATTGTGGGCACAGGCCTAAGCCAAGGGTACTGGAGAGTGAGTGAGCCATGGAGCAGAGGGAGTGGGTAGAGCCACTGTGGTGAGGTCTGGCCGGCGTGTCCACATACACCATATGCACATCTTCCTCCTCCAACCAGCTGAGTGGGAAGTATGGCCTTGTGACCTTCAGAGCCACAGGGCAGGAGAAGGCCAGGGTTCCTGCTAACCAGCACAGTACTGCTCGGCGGTTCCCTAACTCCTTGTGGCCAGGAGGCCTCTATCACAGACCAGCACTGTCCGGCCACTTTGGTGAGATTCTTGTGAGGGTTATAGCAGACTGCAAGTAAAATGCAGAGTTATGTAAATGTTTTATGATTTACTAGTATGATTGATACCTTTATTATAATGGCCACCAGATCTGCTATAGTAAAGGAATTTCCTCCCTGGTACACACTGGCAAAATAAACCATGGCGACCAAGAATGGGACAGATTTACCAGTAGGCTGTGTGAAAGCCAGTGGGCAAGACAGGGAAAGGAGGGACTTAAGCTTGGAGCACAACAAGTGCAGAGCCTCAGGTCTCTGCCCCAAGCAGAAAGGGGCTTTAGCAGCTCTGGACTCATGGGGCAGGCAGGAGGGAGGCAGGAGCCAATCTGGACTCTCCTAGTGGGAACCGAATTAGGAGTCCCTGCATTCTTGTCTCGGGGCCTTTGGGTCTTGGCCTTGGTCCTTGGTCTCAGGATGGGGACATGCATCACAGGGTGACCCACCTTGGCCCTGGTGCAGTACGCCTGCCAGTTGAGCTCTGGATCTCCTAGGACATCCAGGGCCATGTTACAGGTTCCAATAGCCATGTCCTGCTTTCCTAGGAAGTGGAAGATTTTGGCCAGGCGATTGAGGATGAGAGGATGGTCCTTGGCAATCTCGATGGCCTGTGTAGAGAGGGGATAGGAGCATACCACATGTCTGCTCGCTCACGTGGCGGAAGCCAGCGCCTTGGGGCGAACCCCTGGCACTCAGTTCCTGGCCACATTCATGGTCACAGTCATGGCCAGCAGATATTTCTAGGCCCTGTGACCTCCCTCCAGCTCATGCACCCAACTTTGCCTTGGGCATTCAGGGAAGCGCTTCCATGCTGATGGGGTTTCTAACAGGGCCTTGGTACTTCCTCCAGGTTGGTATCCACTGATGCCAGTTCTAAGTGACCTGCCTTAGGGTCACTGGCTGTGGGCAGAGCTAGCAATGAGGCCCCACCCACCTTCTGACCACCCTGACTTGGGGCAGGGAGCGCAGAGACAATGTGCACACAGGCCTCAGGAGGGCTGTTCAGTGTGGGGAGGGTCTTAGTGTGAGGCAAAGAAGAAACCCAAGAAGAGCTTCTGAAAGAGGAGAAGGCAGAGAGAGAGAGGCTTGGAGTCCGGGTGCCTCCTGGGGGGACCTCATAGTGAGGGATGACACCAACCTTCAAAGCAGGGGTAGCTAGGGACTTACTTTGCCAAAGCAGTCCAGGGGCTCGGTGCCTGAGTACCCACAGTCATGGACGCCCATAGGGGTCGTGGAGAAGGTGTCCTTCCTCTCTAGCAGTATCCCAAGGTAGCACCAGGCCAGAGCTGGAGGGTGGAGAGGTGCAGGGATGGAGGGGACCAGCACCACTGAAAGTGTCAGCCCCCACAAAGACAAGGGGGGTACAGCAGCATGAAACCCCAGACAACCCAGGGACAGGGGTGACAGAGGTGGGGCAGGGCTATGCACAGAGAGAAGGAACACATCCAAGAAGGAACACAACACTCATTCTCTGTCTCCTAGGTCACCAGGGCCCTCACTTCAGGGGTAAGCTCTCCTCACAGCACTAGTCTGACTGGCTGGCTGGCCCTGGACAAAATGGCTCCTCTTCAACAGAGCAAGTCCTGGGGTGAACAGCTCAGGGGAGACAGAGTGAGAGAGAAAGAAACGGGAAACAGAGAAGGGAGACAGTGGGAGAAGCAGCAGGGCTAGCGACAGGCACCGGGGCAGCGGATGGAAGCCAGGCCACCAGCCCTGCCCTGGGGCCCTTACCTTGCTGGCAGGTGTTGGAGGCCTTGAGGACTTGCCGGAGCAGAGCCAGAGTGCGGTTGAAGGCAGGCAGCCTCCTCTGCTCCTCGCTGCCCAGCTCCAGGAAGATGCCGTCCAGCCTGGGTGGAGAGGGGCTGTGGCTTCAGCCCCTTTCTCCTCCCCAGCTTGCTTCCAGCCCTCCCTTCCTCTCCGCTGGGGAACTGCCTGCCCCTCTATCCCACCCCTGCCTGGTGCCAGACTCAGTCTGCCCGCCACACCTCCACCCCCACCACCCAGGCCTGACCTGATGAAAAGTGTTGCCATGGTGAAGTACCAGCCCCTTTTCTCCTCTGTGGGGATCTAGGGAAGCAGAAATCAGCGCTGCTGTTACCGGGGTGCCCTGGCCATTGTTCATGAGTGCCCCACTTTCCTGAATCCCAAGATGAAGCAGGGCCAGGGGGAAAGGCTTGGGTCTTGAATGTCTTGGCTCTAGGTCTGGCTCTGCTAGTGTCAGGCTGGTGGCTTTGAGCAGGTTGCCATGCTTCTCTGACCACAGAGGCTGCTGAGATGAGCTGGTCACCCAAAGTTTGAGTGGGACACCTTTTCTCACCCCCATGCACACAGGCCCTGCCCCAGCCTGGCCCCATGCTCTGAGGCCACCACTTCTCTCTGCCCTTTGGCCCCCAACTTCCCAAGCAGCCTCTACACACACCAAGTGAGCCCAGCTCTGCCAGAGCCTGGGTGCCCTGCACTGTTTTCCCATTATTATTCTTGCCAACCTTGCTGTGCATTTAGATCAACTTGGGCACCAGATAAAATATTTATTCTGTTATTTATGGGAGTAGCTGCGCCTGCCTTGGGAAGGAATTTTAATGAAAACCAATAAAACCCCCAGTGCATATCGGCAGCTCTGCCTCAGGCTCCTTCCCTTCTTCCCTCCCTCCCTCCCCCTTCATCTCCTGGTGGAGCTCCTGCCTGCCTTGCACCCCTGGGGACCCCCACATTGCTCCACCCACCCCAGCAGAGAACAGCTCAGCCAGCTGCCTGAGCCCCCACATGGCCTAGGTAGTGCCTGGGAAGGAAGCTGTGAGAGGAGTCATCAGACCCAGGCATCAGTCCCCTTGGATGGGGTGCAGGACACCTGTCACCTGGACCACACAAACAATGGGACACCCAGAGGCCCAGAGAGTTAAAGCAACTTGCCCGAGCAGAAGACCAGGAATTTAATACTGCCTTGCTCTGAAGCTCATGTGCCCTTTATTACACCACGCTGTCAAAAACTAGTAGGTGGCAAAGTCTGTTCAAGGTCACCTGCATGAAGCAGACCCAGAGTAAGCAGGATGGACAGCGCAGGCCCAGCCAGAGCTTTGGGTTTCAGGTGGCCCTTGAACAAGCAGCTGTGCTTGAGCGGCTGAGATGGGGGCCAGGGCACCCCAGATAGCAGGCGTGATGTGAGCAGAGGCCTGAGGACGCAGGGACAGCAGCTTGGGGGACACAGAGCAGTGTACATGAAAGGGCAGGAAGCCAACGCTGGCCAGGGAGTCCCTGGGTGGCCTCAGAGGGAGAGGCCTGTGTGGTAGATACAGAGTGCTGTGGCTGCCCCGGAGGCCCTGCTGCCTGCGTTTCTCAGCCCGTTCCCACTAGAATCTTTTCTATGTGGCCCTGCTTGGGCAACAAGGGCAGAATAGGAAAGATGGGTCCCCTCTTGAGGGCCCTTGGCCAGGCAGGAAGGACAGATTTCCTGGGGAGAAGATGCTGGAGCAGGGTGCTCAAGGGTGAGCAGGGACCCCGCCATGGGGACACAGGAGAAAAGGCACCCAGGATGATGAGTGGGCAAACATGGCCTCTCAGGATCCACACGCAGCCTGGGCCTGAAGCCCACAGCAAGGGCTGCAGAAAGGCTGGCAGGGGCATGTCCAGAAGCCCCAGGGCCAGTCTCAGGATTCGAGCTCATCTGTGGGCAGTGAGGATCCTCGGAAGGCACGCAGCCTGGGGAGTACCCAGATTCAGTGTGCATGTTTCCATTCCCAGTAACTTCAAGGGGCCCTGTCGCCCAGCTGAAGAAGCAAATGTATACTGTGTGCCTTAGGTCAAGGCTTTAGCTATGAACACTGCTGTCTGCCAGGGCTTGGGCCATCTCCGAAGAGGGAGCAGCCTTTCCCTGAGCAAAAGGCAGGGATGGGGTGCTGGGAAATATTTGCTCTCCTTCCAAGGGCAGGAAGCAGGGCACTGGGATCTACGGCATCCCTTAAAGGCACACTGGCCAAAGACCTTGACATGGGCCACCTGTGCCTTCAGCACATGACCCATGAATTCTGGCTGAGGGCTGCTTCATGGCTGGCTACACAGTCGCGGCTGGGAGGAGGACCTCATGCCACCCCAGATACTGACCGGGGGAGACCTCAGCGAGAGTGGGTGGAGGGACACGCTGGGCAGCCCTGGGGGACTCCTCCTGGCCCAGGGGAGCCAAGCAGGGTCAGGGCTGTCTAGGATGCTGCTTTGTCCACTGTGACCTGCTTTCAGTGCCCAGGGAACAATGAGGTCTCAGGCCCCGGATCTCACCTCATCCCTGGCTCTCTAGGACTGCAGACCCCTCTGGGGTCCCAGGTGCCTTTCTTTCCCCCACAGGTCCCTGTGCTGGAGCACTGGGCTGTCTTCAGAACCACCCAGAAATTCAGGCCAACAGAAATGAAATCAAGTTTGTGTGCCCAAACCACAGTTAGTGCATGACTTAAACTCGTGCCACTGTGGTCCTTGGTCCAAGGTTCCTTGTGCACAGCACGCAGTTATCTCATCGGTCTCTGCATAAAGTGACTGAGGACACTGAGCTCAGACATACCCAAAGCCTCACACTAGTGGGCATCAGAGCTTACCTTTGACCCAGTGGTCCGGATATCCTTGAGCAAACTGAGCGCTACTGCTTTTCACTGAGTAGGCAATACTGCCACCTGTGCCCGTATGCCTGAACTGCAGGAGCAGTTTCTAGATGGGGTTAGTTAACTCTGTCCTCTCAAGATTAAAACTGATTTTTAAAAGAAACCAGATGTGGTGGTGCCTGTAATCCCAGCACTGTGGGAGCCTGAGGCAGGGGGATGGCAAGTTTGAGACAGCCTGAGTAATTTAGCAATTTAGTGAATCTTGGGGATGCAGCTCAGTGCAAAGGCCCTGGGTTCAATCCTCAGTGCTTGCTGGGTAGGTGAGGCATAGCAAGGGCCATTTGTGTGACAAGTTCCAAACATCCCTGGGAAGTCCCTCAGAGAGCAATGGCTGTGCTTGGGGCCAATATGTGTGGGGTGGAGTTAATGGGGTGAGCAGATGGATTTAGAGGCCTCAGCATGCTGGGTTTTAATCTTCCATTCCTGCCAGGCTTTCGCTCTGGGGCAACCTGGCCTAAAAAGGGGCTGTTGCTTTAAAATTCTTCTGGTTGTCACAGAGGCAGCAGCTGAAGCTGTTACCAGGGGCAACCTGGCAAGCCACAGTGTGTTAAATTAAATTAAACAGGCCTCTGGCTGCCCCTCCCTCCCTCCCTCCCGGAGAATGAAGTTGCCCTGAAGCCGGGCCTGCTGCAGGTACCTGTGCACCACCATGTGCAGGACCAGGGCTCAGGGGAGCCTTACGTCCTGGGGCCGTGCTGCAGCTCTGGGCCGGTCACCCCATGTTTTCCTCCTCATTACACTCCCTGAGCACAGTCTTGGTCTGTCGGAGGGGCCAGCCAGCACAGTACACACTATGGGGCTCCAGGCTGGGAGATCTGTAGGAGCAACTCGGGAGGCCATGCTGAGCTTCCACAACACCTGTCACTCTGGTTCTAGCTCAGTTGAGAGGGAGGAGCAGGGCCAGGGAGGGGCTCAGAGCAGCTCCCAGCTCTCTGAGGCCCTCACCCTCCTCATCCTCATTTCACAGATGGTGAAACAGAATAAGAAGCAGAAACATGCTGCTTGACCTGACTTTCCAGGCTGGGCCTCTCTGGTTCTTCCTGTAACACCAGGTACAGAGAGCTGGTGTGTTTTCAACTCTGCCTGCCACTTACACGGTCTCCCGTGGGTCATTATCCTTTTAATGCAGATGGAGAAACTGAGGAACTAGCAAGTCCTCAAGGTCACTGGACTGAGATCTGGGGATGGTGCTCTTGTTGCTGTGCTAGCAATAGCAAAAAGGTTTTCTTGCTTATTTATTTTGAGAGAGGATCTTGCTATGCAGTTTAGGCTGCCCCAGAACTCACTACTATGTCTTTGAACTAATCCCAGTGCTGGGATTACAGGTGTGCACCTGTAATCTGGCAAGAGCAAATGAGTCCATACTATACACGAGCCCCATCATTTATAGGTGTTGATCTGTTGGGCCCTCAAGAGCTATCTATGAGGTAGGGGCTTCTGTTATCCTGTTTTTATAGATGGGGTAGTTCTGGCACATAGTGGTCAGGTGGTTTCCAGAGTGACACAGCTGGAAGAAAGCAGACTTTGAACCCAGCAGTCCCAGAACCTAACTACCTCAGAGCAGCAGCTCTCAAAGTGTAGGCCCTGCCAGAGCCTGGGCCTCACCTGGGAATCTGACAGAAACGCAGATTCTTGACAGCTGACTCACACTCTTGGGTGGAGCCCAGCAGGCTTCATGATGACAGGCCCAGGGCAGGTGCCAGGATGGGGCAGGAGCACTGAAAGTCCCCAACAGAGGGGACTGGGGGTGGGGTGGGATTTGGCTCTTCAAAGGACTTCAATAAAAGAACTCTTGCCACCCGAGTGGTATGCAAATCTGTGTGCAGCTGCCTGGGCTATGGGGATACCTTGTTGGCTCTTAGGGAGAATATTGGTCTTGCAGCCTGAGCTTTGCCCTTGTTGAACACAGCCTGCATTCCAGTGTGGGTTCCAGAGAGCTAATTCCCTCCCCACCCCCAACATACACCCACCCTGTGCTGGGGCCAAGGCGAGGACAGAGAGAAGGAACACACTTCTCAGGGGTTACTGGGGACTGTGTCGCGTCAAAGCCCTGGCTTCTCACAGCACCTTGGAAAGTTGTAGCTGCCTCCCCTTCACACGTAGGAGACTAAAAAGAAAGCCACGCACCCAGCCTCACAGTGCTGGGTGGAACCACTGGGCCTCAAGTGTGGACCTGCCTCCCGTCGTCTCAGGGACCCGAGAAGCTGACGCTGCAGAAAAAGAAGTCACAAGGATGTGTCCTTCCTGCATGACCGGACTGCCCACTGTGACACACAGGCAGCACACTGCTGGATACCAGGAGGGGACAGGCGAGCCAATGCCCTCTGACCCTGCCTCTAGCTCCCCAGGGATTCCCAAAGGCCACAAACGGGGCCTCCCTCCTAAGAAGCTCAAGGGTGGGGGCGGAAGTGCACATAGGCGGGGTGGTGTTTACTCCTGACTCACCTGACTACCAGGGCCACTTCTCTGTTCCAGTCCCCAGTGAACAAGGGACACCCCAAGTAGGCCTGGGCCCAAGCTGGCCACCAGTGCCAGTAGCAGCAGGCTTTGTCTGGAGAGGTCTGTGCCCTCCATGAAGAACCTCAACATCCAGCAGTGATGGCCTGCAGGATCAGAATACAAATCCACGTGCTACGAAAGGTGCCACCCTCACTCAGAGCCTGGCACAGCGCTGCCCACTGTGTGAGGTCCTTGCCCTCTCCCGGCCACCCTGAGCCGTCATGCAGCATGGGGTATATACAGCCCCCCAGAATGTGCATCAAGCACCCAATACTTTGGGGGAAAAAAAGGAAAATGAAATAACTGAGCTGGCTTGGGCCAGGGATTTATTTTATTATTATTTAGAGAAATATAAGCTCTAGCTACCTTATTTTTAAAATTAGGGACTTTAAGATCTAAAATTGAGTTATCCAACTATATTAAATTGAGTTAAAACACATGATGGGGAAAACAAGCTCCTCCTGGGTGACATAGGGGCCTGGCTGAGGGGACAAAGCTCCCAGGAAGCTGCCAATGGTCCTACAACAGAGAAATAGCAGGTGCAGGGCAGGGGCCAGCCCAGCCGGGATGGCAGAGCATGCACCTCATGCGCCCTGACTCACGGTGTCGAGGACCCTCATCTCCACAGCAACCTTGGAGGTCCACCTTAGGGTCCCTTTGCAGGGCAGAAACAGGTTAGAGAAGTGACCTTCTATAGCTGCCTGGCAGGAGAGGTCTGTCAGCTGCAGAACCTGTGCTCTCTCTATGCTAACCCTGAGAGCTGTGCAGGAACCCCAGGGTGCCTCTGTGCGCATGCGTGTGTGTGTGTGCATGCATGCACGGTGGTAGCAGAGGCTATGACCTGACCTCTTGTATTTAAGGAGATATAGAGGCAGGAAAGAAGGGCAGACAGGAAGTCACGGACCTTACTGGCCCACTGCATATGAGCTTGCTTTGGGTTCAGGCAGATCCCTGACTTGCGAAGCTGCCCTCTAGCTGGCTCAGCAGGGGAGCAGCAGCTTCAGGCTCTTCCCAGCTTCCAGCCTGCAGGGTCTCATCTGCTGGGCATAGGCTGGGCAGGTGCTGCCGCCTGCCTCACTGCACCCGTGGTGCCAACCATGTGGCCAGGGAGCTCCTTCTCTTTCCTGCTCCGCCTCTGCCTCTGCTGCTGCCCCTTACTCCTGTCCTCTGAACCTCCCATCCCTCTTGTCACACATGCTGGGCCTTCATTGTGGGAAGGTCTCTTTCCCACCTCCTTGTCCCTCCAGAAAAGCAAAATCAAGTCAAGTGGCACGTGGCGGCCTCTTCTCTGACCAGTGGCCGGGGTATCTCAGGCTGGCAGCTGTGAGCTGGGCGCTGCCTGTGGTGGGCATCGCACAAGGCCCAGTGTGGAAGGCGCTGCCAAAGGGGGCACCTAGACCACCATGTGCAGTTCTGCCTGGAAGCTTTGAGAGGAACTGTGTGCCAGAGCTGGGTCTCCATGGGTGGCAGAGGGCACAGTACCTTCCTGGGGAGGGGCGAACTGGCACAGTGTCTGGGGACTACAAGTGGATTAAAATTTCTGGGAAGTAGATTTGGAGTCACCATGTGCCCCTTCTCATGCAGCTTTGGGCTGCTGTCCTCCATCCCGCCTTCTAGCATTCCCAGAAACCCTCACGCGCCTCAGGCTCCTGCCGCGCGGCCTTTGCACACACTGTACTCCAGCAGAGCACCAACACCTTGTCCTGCCAGGCCTTCCTCAGCCACTCCTCTGGACGTACTCACTGCTACCTGCCCACACACCTGGTCTTCCCAAGTCACTGCTGCTGATGCCAGCATCCGGTCCACAATGCCCACTTGTGGTCCAGGAGCCATGACGCCTGTGAGGCCTGTGGCCTCTGTCAGCCCCAGACACATCTTGGATTTGTCCCTCTGACCCCTCACCCACAGAGAGATGAGCTACTGAAGAAACATGTTTGCTTCTCCTTCCATCCGTGTCTCAGTGGCAGGAGCTTCTTACAGGGCTGGCATACAGTAAGCGCTCAATAAATTCAGAAGGTCTGCGAGTGGCTCTCAGACACCCTCAGAGTCTCCCAGTGTACAGGCCCTTCCATTCTATCCCCCCCCCCCCTTTCATTCTATCTTGCAGCTGGAAAATCTCAGGAACCCTAAGGCAGAGAGCACTACTGACACTCAAGCAGCCAGGGACCAGAGAGGACAAGTAACTTGCCCAAAGCCACATGGCAAAATAACAACAGGGTTTAAACTCGAGCCTCCTGACTTTTCTTGCTGAAACTCTCCTTGGTGTTACCCAGCTGGTGACTCTTTCCTGAGCCCCTGATGGGTGCCAGGTACTTCACCAGCATGATCTGATTGGCCCCTTGTATGGCAAATGGAAGGGGCCATGTCCCCAGCTCCCTCCGGGCCACAGCTGCTCTGTCATGTGGCCTCGGCAGCAGCTCCTGTCCCTGGCACACAGTGTTAGCTGCTGGGGCATGCTGACTGCAGGGAAGCAGCCGGCCTGTTTGCTGTGTGCTCTACCCTCTGCCTCCCTGCTCACCTCCTCCAGGCAGCCTACAGAGCGCAGGAAAGGGTCTCAGAGGCCATCCAGGCAACCTTCCTGTGCCCATTTCTGAGATGGGGAACTACCAGGCAGAGCCAGGCCTCCACTGTGGGCAGTGCCATGGCTGGGATAAGACTTGAGGCCCCCTGGATCCTGGCCACGGGCTCCACCACCATTGCCAGTACTAGTGGCCACAGCCAACCACACACACAGTACTGCCACCCCTTCCCTGCAGAGCTGCCTGGCATTCAGGGTTCAGGATTTAAAACTGGAGACTCAGACCCCGGCAGGTCCCATGGGAAGGTGACTGCCGCACCCATCGTGAGAAAGAGCAGCTTCACAGCCAAGAGGGTGAGGGTGGCCTTGACCCTGCCCGATCCTGCACCTGCTCTTCTGGGAGCTTTGCAAACATTAATTATAGTGCTGGATGCGGTGGCATTCATGAGTTGAGACAGGAGGATCACCTGAGTTCGTGGCCAGACTGGCTACATTTAGTGAGTTCAAGGCCAGCCTGGACTACAAAGCAAGACTGCCTCAAAAAATCTCTCCGCCCCCAAACAAAATAAAAACCACATGATAACATCAGCCAAACAAGGGGATCCCCATTTTACAAAGGAGGAACCCTAGGGCACATGTGCCATGATGGTCCCCATGTTGCAGAAAGGCAAAGGACACTTTGGGACACCAAGGCCTGGCCAGAGGTGAGATCCTGGGAGATGGGTTCTGATGGGCATCTGGACAGGGACTCCTGGCTTGGCCTCTGCCCCGCACTGCCATCCCTAAGTCTCTAGCCTCTGCTGTGTCTCCCAGGTTATGGCTGCTACTGCTCCCCTGTCCCACTGAAAAGGTGCAGAAGGGGTGTATCGGCTTCAAGAACCAGACTTCTAGGTGCGAAGACTTGTTATTTGAACTTCACCCATCAAAAGCACTGTGAAACATTGCTGCTATCAGCTTGAATCTGCCTGCACTGTCTTCTCAGAAAGGCCACAGTGTCCCGTGAGCTGGTGAGGAATGGATCTTATGTGCAGCCAGGAGAGCTCACAGGGAAGCAGACAGTGCCCCAGTCTCAGCCCAGCACTGCTGAGCCAAGCTGAGCACACCTCGGCTCCGACCACTCAGCTGTACCACCCTGAATGCTGATCACCCAAGCTGCGGAGTTCAGGCAGATCTTGTTTTTCTTGGGAGATAACTAGCGTATCTAGTACCTGTCTGTGTAGTGCTAGGCCCTGTGCCCAAGCAGCCATTGGGTTTCCTGCATTAGCGCGCATGAGCACTGTCCCCACTGTCAAAGCCTGGGAGCTTGGGATGGAGACTTACTTGTGGGGGCACATGGGAGCTCTGATCCTCCGGGGAGGGAGATAAGGTGTCAGAGACATGCCCCAGGCCCTCTGGCAAAGATGGAGCAGTGTGTGGCCCAGGAAGAGGGTGAGGGGGGCAAGGTGGGCTGTGGAGACATCTGGCCTGCAAGGCTGGAGCGGCAGTGGGATGTGACAATAGCCTGGCTCATGAGGGGAAAAAGGGAGGTCTGGCAGAGCTCTGGCTGCGGAGGGCTTTGGTGCCCACCAAGAGCCCAGGATTCCTGCCAGTCAGAGGGAGTGGGTGGCGGGCACAACCAGCGCGATGATAACAGGGAAAGCACACTGGCAGCAGGGATGACCGCAGCAGGGTCAGGGTGCTGCAGGGCAGGAAGCCAGAGGAGCAGGGACAGCCAGCAGACCTCAGAGGGAAAGAAGGCAGAGTGGGTGGAATCAGACCTGGAGGGAAGAGGTGGGTTTCTGGTGCTGCCTGGAGGTACTTTTAGTAGGTGGAGGAGCAGGGGCACAGGGACAGGGACAGGGACAGGTACAAGCTTGCTGGGAGGAACACGGATGCGTGATGAATTGGCCGGGGGAGCACAGCTCCAGCTTGTATGGGAGGAAAGAGGGTTCACGGGGGCAAGGTGTTGTACAGGCCAGAGGACTAGTGGAGCGGAGGCAGGGACCTCAAAGACTAAAGCGTCTTGCCACAGCCTCTCCAGCGGGGGTGGGAAGGTGGTGTCACTCACCTGCTGCCCGTAGCTCAGCGCTTTGTCGTAGAGTGCAAGGCCGGCCACCAGCACACGCGCGCGCTCCTCCAGGCTGGCGCAGCCCACGTCGAAGCCATGTGCATAGCCTTGCTCAGCCAGGCAGCGCGCCGCCCGGAGCGGGACTGCCACGCCGGCCTCGGGGTCCGCGCCCAGGCCCATGAGGCTGGCCAGCCGGGCGGCGCACGCCTCCTCCTCTTGCTCGTGTCCCAGCCGCCCATACACGTGTGCCAGGTTGGCCCAAGCGTTGAGGTTGCCCGGGTCCTCGCGGGCCACCTCGAGGAAGCGCTCGCGGGCCTCGTCCAGCTCATCCAGGTAGAAGGCAAAGACGCCCTGGAGGTGCTGCACCCCGGGCCGCTGGGAGGCGGCCGCCAGCTCCAGCTCCCGCCGTGCGCCCTCGCGCTGCAGCTGCAGGTCCCGCGCACGCAGCGGGGCCGGCGAACGCGGCTCGAAGTTGAGCTGCATCTCCAGGTGGAAGTGGCCAGGCAGGTAGTCCATGTCGTTGATGAGGGCGTCCAGGTCGTCGGCCGCGGCCTCGGGCTCCGCCATGCTTCCCAGCCGCTGCCCGGCCTCACCTGCCCGGAGGCGGTGGAGGTGAGCGCGGGGACGAGACGAGACGCCCAGCAGCCGGGCGCAGAGGCCCAGGGCGCGGCGCTTCCCAGTCCGGAGCCGCCCGGTGGGTGGGTCCGCCCGCCCGAGGTGGTTCCGCCTTCGCTGCTCAGCGGCCCTTAGACGCGTTGCACAATCAGGTGTGGCAGAAAAACAGGTGCATTGCTGGCTGCAGCGGCCGCCAGCCGCAGTGCGAGGCCAAAGGCCGGGTTTGCCTCTGCTCACTCTGGAAGGAGGAAAGGGACCGGCCTAAGTCATAGAAGTGGGTCGCAGGGAAGGCCAACGCCAGCCGGGCCCTCCTCCTCCGTGGGCACTGCTCCACGTGGAAGTGGAGGGCTCTGGACAGGCCCTGAGGTGGAGGGACCACCGTCTTCCTGCTCCTGCCCATCAGTGCCTCTGTCCTACCTCCCACTTTCCTGTCAGCTACTTGAGGCTGACAGTCCCTCCCTAGGCAGGGAGCCCCAGGCAAACCGGTACATGGTCACTCTGGATTACAGTGTGAGCTCTGCCCTCCTCCTGGTGCCTATCCCGTCCCTCCAGCCACCTGTGGTCCGGTTTTCCTTTTGGGACCAGTCTTCAGTCCTGGACTTTGGAGCCTGATCTGGAGACTGCCACTAGTGGCCCCTCTAGAGCCTGGTTCCTGCAGCCCAGTACTGGACCCCTCCTCCTTCCTGGAGCGGGGATCTGCCCCTGCTGTCTCTTGTTCAAAAGAGCAGCACTTTCCAAAGAGGATAAGCAGCCAGGCAGTGGACTCGGGAGAAATACTTGATTTCAGCAATAAAAGAAGAAATCACCTTGACTAACTATATATACTGATACCTGTGAACTAAGCTACTGCACTGCAGATGGTAATTTGTAATAGTGGTTTCATGTTTGGAGTGCCTATCATTGTGGTATTCTGAATATGGGCGGCTTGTCATGACATGCCAGTTACTGCTAAGATGTCTCTCAGGTAGGTGGATG